AATCCAAAGTAATTTCGCATAGGAAAGAATATTGTTGGTTTAAACGTATGAGTCCTCAGCGCATCGTCCTATAAAATTGCCCTTTAAATAAGGATTTATGAACCGACGAAATTAAGCGTGACTTCGTAAAGATCACAGACGATGCGCTAAAAACGTTTAGGCTCAAAGCAAAAGTCGTCATTTCATGGAAATTTTTCTTTGGCTTTCTGTAAAGCCAATCTATGCAAATATTTTCTTGAATTGTCATTCTAAATGACAATTTCAATAATGTGAAATTGTTGACGGCTTGTTCCACATCCAAATTTTGAGTAAATTAGCGTTAAGTTTCATACTCCAATATTAGTTCAGGTAGTTTTTACTTACAATAGTCTTCATGTAGATATTCTTCGTCACCGCGGAGACGATAACGCTTGCCCAGCTCTTCTATCAGCATTTCATCCTCATACTCAAGTTCGCGCTCAATGGTATCCGTTTTCTTGCAGATTAGTGAAAGAAGGAGGGCAAAAGCCATAACCTAAAGCCAAATAATGCTAAAATATGAGTTGGAGGTTTTATCCAGCCAAAAATACATTTAGCTAATCTAGAATAACTGACAGAAATACCACATTAATAATGTCAATTTAATTAAATTAATACATAGCAAAGGCTACTCCAGTTAAAGAAGGAGCTAATGCTAATGATGGTACCGTATTTTCCGGCGTATAAGACGACTTTTCACACCATAAATTTCTGCTCCTAAGTGGGAGTTCGTCTTATACGCCGAGTGTAGTTTAGGGTTCGCTAATTATACTATGGTTCCGAGCTCATGTTGTGCCCCTTATCTCCTCCTGCACACACACAGCTTTCCGGCGCAATGTTGGATGTTTTGTGTCAATTTGTCATAACAGCCTGGAATGATATTGAAGCAGGGACAGTAGTCAAGTCTTTCAAGAAGTATGGATTATCAAATTCATTAGATGGTATGGAGGACGACTACTTGCGGCAAGATGAAGAGGAAGCCGAAGCTGAGAGCACCCCATCTAATACGGAATTCGATCCATATGACGACTGCCTTGCAAATGTATCACAAGATGTCATTGATAAACTTATGATATCAGACGACGAACAGGAGGATTTTTAAGGCTTTTAAAAGAGAAACTGTCACACTAGCAAAAAATACCATAGCTTGCCGTTATGATACATGCTACTCGCCAGTGACTTGCCCAGCACTTGCTCTCTCTCTCTGTTGTTTGTTAACTTCCTCCTATCATTGTCAATTCCAGTTTAGTTTATAGCTTAGAAAACAAACAGTATGGCAGCTCTCATGCGTTTATTGTGTTATCCTTTTATTCAACTTTTGAGTTTAATCCACTTGCACTTATGTTTACGGTACATGTTTGATGACATTCAGCCGTATGCTTATAAGTGACAGTTTTGCTGCTTTGAATTAAAATTACCATGTTGAAATCAAATCTGATGTCCTTATAAGTTTTATTTGGTGTGCGGAAGAGGGGGTATACGGCGAGTATATAACAAAATCTATATTTTAATTGGAAAAGTCTTATACGCCGGAAAATACGGTAATCAAAAAGCCATATCTTGGAGGCCGGACAACGAATCTAACTATCAGGCAGGGAACGACACATTTTGGCCGAACGTCCGAGTTGCCATATCTACTAGACTGTCATTGAGGGCTTTAGAGCTGAAGATCTTTAAAAAATTCAATTCCATTGTATCCTCATGAAAGGGTACAGACCTTTATGGGTTCTATTAGCAGCATGCTAGTGAAGAAGGCGATAAAAAGCGCGGAAAACCATTTCTTGCAGGCCGCATCTCCAAACGATACGCCGTAGAGGGTGGTGAAAAAGACTGAGATTGCGAGACAGATAACCAGAAGGGTCCAGGCAAAGACTCGAGCTTGCCAAGGTAGAATAAGACCTTGCTTTTTGGCTGGTGCTGCCCTGTATTTTACGGGAAAGGAATAAATATACAGTTTGGTTTATTAAAATAAAAGCTGCTCTTCGAGAAAATGAAGTAGCGGCTAAAGCAAGCAACAATATTGGTTCCGAAGTTAATAGTTAGATATATGGATGGATACTCTGCTGACTAAGAACACAACAAAAATAGAGCAGAAGTATTCCTTAAGCAAGTTAATGGAATAGATGAGATAACCAAATTAATTATGAAGTCATACGCTGAGGATATCTTTAGGTAACCCACACACAGACACAAACTTAAGTTTACTTCTTAAATTCTTTTCTAGTCATGGAGATGGGGTCAACGTAGGGGATATGAAATCGACGCTAATTAGAAGGCTTTAAACTAAGGGTATCAGGAAATGAAAAATTTAGGGAGGATTTTAGTTCAGGACAATTATTGGGAGAATTAGTAAACAAATGATTTTCATTGACGAAAAGCAGAACGCATGGATATAGCTTTCTATGACAGAAAAGGTGGAACGACAAATATATCCTATTACTGATGGTGAATCCTATGACCTTTGAAAAGGTATGTACTAAGAAAGTGAGAAATAAAACAACTATAGACAGAAACGAACCACTTTCTTCAGTTATACAATATGATTTTGTGAAATTGGAACACTTTGCATATCAGAAGTATAAAAGGCTTTGTGCTTGCGTGAGGATGAAAAAGAACTTAGTTGCTCCAGGCAGCATAAAGTGATTTAAGGAATGATAGTTGAGTTCTCCCACAATGAGATGAGTAGGCCTAAGGTGACGAAATTATTATTCAAGAATATAGTATAGTATAGTAAAGTAAAGTAAAGTAAAGTAAAGTAAAGTAAGTATTGTATAGTATAGTATAGTATAGTATAGTATAGTATAGTATAGTATAGTATAGTATAGTATAGTATAGTATTGTATTGTATTGTGTACTATAGTATAGTATAGTAGAGTGTAGTATAGTTTAGTATAGTATAGTATAGTATAGTTTAGTATAGTTTAGTATATTATATTATATAAAAGTATAATATATAGTATAGTATATAAACCCTTTAATATCGAAACTAAGTAAAATCGTCAATTGAAATGACAACCACATATTTACTTGGATACGAATACCAAGATGTTGTGGTCGCTATTTTGGTTGC